TTTGGTTTTTCTTCTGGTTTGTTTGAGTTTGGGGGTTTTTTTGTGTGTGTGGTTTGGTTTTTTTTCCTGTTTGGTTTGCTTTGTTTGCTTTGGTTTTGTTGTTGAATTTTGTTTGGGTTTTTTAAGGGCTTTTATTTTTCATCCTAAATGGGGGATGTAAAAAAGCAAATCTGTCCTGAGCATTTTCAGTTTTGAACATTCAAAAATCCAGATCTTCCACAACAGGATCAAAAAAATGTGAATCTAGACTACTCCGTTTTCTTACATGGTCTGCAATTAAAGAGTGAGAAAAGATTTTTCTTTTTTTTTTCCCTCCTCCTTCAAGAAAGTGCAATGCAATCTACCAGTGGTGAAGCTGACCATGAGCATGATGTTTATTCAATTTAACAAGGGACTTTTATATATTCTTCTTATGTGTTAAGGACATTCTTACAAAATTCTTTGGCTTGCTCCACGATTACAGCTCTCTTACAATCTCAATTTCTGCAATAAGCTATGCTAAAACCATAACTTTTAAAATATACCAAAGTCAAGCAGTAAGATCAATTGCATATTCCCAGAGTTTAATCAACTGGCAGGAAGGAGCTCTTTGGGGACTTAAGCCACTACTGACCTGTGATATGAGGAATCAGTGCCTCTTCTTCACCCAAGTGACCAAGGACATAGTGTAGGAAGACACCATGGCAGCAAGGCCATGATTCACCATAAGCCGCCAGTCACTCCAGGAACGGCATACCTCTCTCTCTCTTTTTCTACTTGCTGATTTCTTACCTAGAGACTTATTTTGCCCAGGCTGTTTCCCAACCAGCCTCAGCAGCTAGAACTAAACTGTTTTATGTCGAGTCCCCATTTAAGTACAAACATGCTTTGTCCACTAATAGTTGAACGTCTTCTTGTATTAGGCAGCTCCTCTGCTATTAGGCAAAGGCTCTGCACCTCAAGACATGAGCAACAGTACCTACATTGGGATGGGCTATTAGGAACCCTGTTCCACAGACACAGCTGGTGCCCCTCAACAGAAGGGATACAAATTCTGAAAGATGACAAAGCAAGGAAGATGGTTAGGGAGAACTGGAAGGAGAGATGGCATCATGGCACCAAAATGTTACCCAATATCTCCAAAAGGATTTAACTATCGTCTTGATTAAAGCTGCTCACAGGGGTGATCTTTGTCTTAAATATAAAGCAGAATACTCCTCTTGCTAGACTTATCACAGTCTGTGGATTCAGAAATGTTATTAGAGAAACAGAATGACAAGCCTCTTCTATAGCCAAAGGAAAATGCATACAATCTTCAGCAGGTGTTCTGGCTTACATTTCACCCATGAAGAGGCTTTTTTCATTGACCAAAGCTGGTTTTAATCTTAAAACAAATTAGCAGTACATCAATATGCGCTCCAGATATCAAGCACTTCCATGCTCCAAACACAGCAGTCTTGTGGAACAGCAGCATGTGTAATGGCTCTAGTCTAGCCAAGGAAATCCTCTTGACTTTGAGTCACCAGTATCTCTAGCTTTTCTAACCTAAATAACTGGTATATGACACTAATCTCTCTCATAGCATTCTCATATGTTGTAGTTATCAACACCCATGCAAAAGAAGCCCTTGTCAAAAGCTTCTACAGAGAGATTTGGGAGATATTAGTGTCTTTCTTTTTATCAGAATGCTTCTGATGCCTGCACATGTTATTAAAGAATGCTTTTTTGTAAATTACCTTGCTGAGAATTGTTACTAAGTGAGGATTTTTGTTTGATGAATGAACAAGACATGAAATGAAACGCTTCTATGTCTAAGCAACCTGAAGGTGATGAATAAAACAAAATTAGAGAAAATGCATCTAGAGTGAAATTCAAGGATCCATCAGCTATCTCTCTTTAGCTATCTCTCTAATCTAATAACTATTTTTAAGACTTTCACAGATGGAGGTTTTACTGACTCAATCAATCTCTATATGAGTGATACATTTTAAGTCAATTTTTTAAAATTTTCATCCTGAATTCTGTGCTATAGTTTTGATTCACTGTTTTTTGTCCAGTCTGCAGTGGATCTAAAGAAGAGATTAGTTCTTTCCTTTTTTATATCTGTCTTTTTGTGTCTTCAAGGGTATGTTCATCTTTTGCTGCAGTCTGATTTTTGCTGGATTTAGCAACTTGATTCATTCAGTCTTTTTCCCTGGCTATATCCTCTAGACTGCTGTCAACTGATTTCTCTGTGTCCTTCTTGAAGCACTGTGCCTAAGAGTGGGCATAGTATGGTGGAAGGATTAGAGCAGAGGCACACAAAACTAGTGTTGATCCCATGACAGTGGCTGTTGCTGTCATGGTAGGATGATGTTACTAAATCATGTTCCATTTCTGGGGCACTTTACACATGTGTTGTGTGTGAGGAAGCATGTTTTGAAGACTGGTCCAAACCACTGTGATTACAGCCACTACACTGTAGAGTCCTATACTTTGTTGAACAGCATCTTGCTTTTTTCCTAGTGCATGTTTCCAACTCATGAATGTAATTTTGAATTCTAATCCTAGCCTCCATGAAGGCCTTTATCAAGGTGGCCATCCCATTAATAAGCACAGAAGTTTTCATTCTGCAAGTTAATGCAGACTGAGAGAGGCTGCGGTGATTTAAGTTGCCTATTGTTATAGCTCCTTTACCCTGAAGAATGAGACCTTTTTCCCTTTTGTCTGAATGGAAGCTCCAACAAATTAGTTAATAGACACCTTGGCTTTATTTCTTTGTTTATGGCCTTTCAGACTTATACTATATTCAGTGTTTGCATCTTTTAACTTATCTTTGCGGTCTGGTTTAATTGTCTGTTTCTGCAGCCTAAAATTACTTAACAGCTAATCATTGCTTTTTAACTTGGCAGGAGGGGATTTAAGCTGACCATATGTGCTGCTCTCCTGTGGTGAGGAAACACCCTTCTTAAACGGTCTCTCTTCCTCCATAGCTATTCCTTTCGTGAGAATTGTAAGAACATTTGAGTGTCAGATCCTTGTTCTGTTCCTATCCATCAGTATAATATAGAAATACAGAATTACTTTAAAGAAAATGGTCTCCTGATTTTATACCAAAGAAAATGGGAACAAGTCCTGTCCCTTAGTTTCCTTCATGTAGGAAATATCTTTTCTGAAATGGAAAAGACAAACCAAACTCTGAGGAGAAGTCATGGATTTCAAGGACAAAAATTATGTGAAATCTTACCTTTTATGATTTTATTATCTTTCAAAAAGACGTTTCCTTCCAATTCCTGTACGAAGCAAAGCATCCCCATAAAAATAGTTCCACCATGTCTGTGTCACACATTTTGAAGGGAATTTGTTTCAAGGAAGTTCAAGAGATTTGCAGATACTCCAAAAAGGTGGATTTTTTTTGTTTGTTTGTTTTGTTTGCTTGTTTGTTTGTTTGTTTGTTTGTTTGTTTTGTCTAAAAGCTAAGCATCCAGCCCACACGAGTTGTCTTATCCAGGTCACACTATAATCAGGCCATCCCATGGTAGGTGAGATGAATGGTGACTCATCTCTGACACACTGCTATTATCTAGACAACACTATGACAATTTAGAATTGTTCTCTTTGGAACTTTAAAGTTAGGTGAGATTACCCAAATGGTAGATTACACTGATGAAAGTGATCACGCTGGGAAGAGTGAAACCATCTCAACAAAGCCTTCACTGTATGGTAATCTAATCTCTGGGTTCAGGCAGAGAGTGCAACCTCAAAATGCTCATCACCTTCCCCGCACAACCATATAATCCACAGGGTAGCATGGCTCCCTACCTGGAGCAAAGCTGTGGCTCCCCAATAGAGAAGGCATCATGGCTTCTGGTCAGCTGGAGGCTAAGAGCTGAGGAGGCACTAAAGCTCAATGCGAAGCAAGAAGCTACTTGTTGCTGCTCCGTTCCTTTCATTTCACCTTCCCTCCCCATGTTCACAGCTGAGATATCTTGTTTGCAAGCAGACGGAGCTCTGGTTTCTGCTCACCCATGACAGAATCAGGGGTTAGTGGCTTCCAAATGCTTTTAATGAGTGTTCTCCCCTGGTTCTGCTCTATTATCAGCCCAGTCAGGTAGGTGTGGGTCTCACTGGCAGCCTCCTTTCCCCAGCCTGCTCAGGACAGTGCCTTGGGGTCAGTTCTGTACGGCCAGCAGCTGGCACTCCTCTTCAGCTGCAGCCTTTACTTATCTCCTCCAATTTCACCTAACTCCCACATTTTGGGTTTGGTGTCAGGAACTGGAAGATCCCAAACGACTACATTGACATAACCTGAAACTCATTCCAGTTGCTAGGATATGAAGACTGGATGTGCACTCACCAAACAAGCAAACGTGGACACATACTCCCTTGTTCTTGCAGACAGAGGATCATGATGCTTGGAGAGCACGAATAGCCTTATTTCTCACTTTCTTTTCTTTGTACACACACCACTAGGGGACGTTTTGTCATCACGTATCACTGGCTACATAGTTATACTTTTCCTTAGTGGGTAATTTTTCATTTTCAGTCTTGGTGCACATCTAGATCATGGAGCGGATGTCCGAATTTTGTAGGGCTCGTGGATGACCCAGACTTATTGGAGTTGGGAAAGAGAGAATTATTTATTTCCCCCATTTCTGCAAAGGAGCCCATCTATCAACATTCCTTATGAAGTGTGGCAGCTGGTTATTTCACAGCTTGCTGGAGCAGCACAAGAGCTGAGGGTAGCTTCTCATTTTAGCGTTAAGTGCTGAATACAGACACTGCTAGTTGTTTTGTGAAGATAGAAGTAACAGCCACTGCAAATCAAACTGGAATGAACATCACTAGCAGTGATGCATCTAAGTGTTTTCTGAAAAAAAACCCAAGAATATCTTTTAGACTAAATAGTTGGAATCAATTGGCAAAACTCACATTTCACTCCATTTTCCATTCTCATCTTATTTGTCCAAGGATAACTGACTGTCTTAACCCAAGTCACTACCCACCTATCGATGTGCTCTTTTCCCTTCTCTCCATTGCAGACAGAGCAGCTGCTGACTCTTTGGATTCTCTTTATTGTCACAATTGCTGGAAATGCCACCGTGCTCTTCTCTACCTGGAGGAGGAAGCGGAAATCTCGAATGACCTACTTTGTTACACAGCTGGCAATCACAGGTAGTGTGGGGAGGGGAAAGGGTATCTGACCTGCACAGGAATTGTTATTAAAATGACAAATAAGAAAATGCAAGTTGAGTTGTGAAGAATTCAGTTGTCACCTAATGTCCAGTTGCAGCTCGCCATAAAGCAAATGGATGGTTGCTTATCTTAGGGATCATTCTGACTCTAATTGAAAAAGATGTTGCTAGATACAGTAGTATCTGTGTCAGAATGCAGCAGCTGCAACTCACTGATGTCACTAAATCTTATCTTCCAGTCTGAGTTTGCATCCACATTTCCTAGAAGCTATATTTCCAGCTGTTGTCATGGAACTGTTTAAAGTAAACTAGTTTAAGATGAATCTCCTGTGTTTTTCTACTAAAACTGCTCTATCAATTATACTCTTGCAGGGAAGAGTGAAAATAACTTCATGTTATCTGGTTTAGTAAAGCAAGTGAAATATAAAAATATAAAGGTGAGAGGAATGGATTTAGATGTTTTTTTAAATGAAAAAAAGGATGTTGATCCAAGGACTTTGTAGTTTTTAAACAAAATGTAAAATGTACAGAAGCCTGGTTTGTAAAATGTCAGCTTCAGCAACAAGGAAAGGAAACAAGCATAAGCAGCACATTGTTTCTCTGTGGTCTTGAATGGACTAAATTTTTGGGGATTTAAGTTTCCCAAGGGAAAATATGTGCTGTTTCTATAACAGTGTCCTGCTACTAATCCCTGCTTACAAGACAGCTGTGTTGTACTGTTTGTGTATATAGGATATATTTATATGCTTTCTGTTGCTATTTTTTTCCTAAGCTATGGTAGGAATTACAGCACTTTTTCACCAAAGAGCTATTTAATATTTGACTTTCCAGCAGTATTGCATCCTCCTTTGATGTCTGTTGTACTTCTGTTTAAACTAGAAAAGCAAAGGACTATACTGCCCAATTTTAAACATGCATTCTTTGTAAATAAATGAACTCCTGTTCATGGTCTCAACCACATCTGTTCAGGAGCTTGTACAGTTTGAAGAACTACTCTCAGCTGAAACAGATAGACCAAGGTGTGCAAAGTGGTGTAAAAGGGCAGGTCTATAACTACAGGTGATGTAAGAATTATTACAAGGTGAGGAGGTGAAGGTTTGCAGCGACTTCTCTTCTGAAGTGCTGACAGCTGGTTTTCCTATTTGCCTGTGAGTCATCTGTAATAAATGATTTTACTTCTTATCTCATTTGTGACCTTTATGTCACTTCCTTCATGTGCCAGTGGTATTTTCCATCAGGTAAGTCATGTTAATACAGCCTCACCATACAGTTTGGAAGCATCAATCACAGATCAAGTGTTACATTGTTCACAGGAGTTTCAAAATAAACAGTCTCTGCTCAAAGAGTTCCCTATCCCAGATGAATATACTCAGGCAACCAAGAAGTAATACAGGCAAAGAGTAGAAGAGCAACTGAAGCCCCAGGTGGACACTGTCCATTTTCTACTTACTTCGTCAGTGAGCAGGGTACCAGGAGCAACCATCATGAGAAAGGCTTTGGAAGAGAGGAGGGTGAAAAACGACTGTATGTATCCATCTGGCACAGAGGCCACAAGGTTTGGGTTTGCTGAAAGAACAAAGATGTGTAATACTCACAACAGCGTGGTAATAGAAGATGGATTCCAATAGGAAGAGTTAAACTAAACAGCAAAGGGTCTTGAGCTAGTAAGAAAACAAATGTACTTACTGCAGCAAAGAAAGAACTGGCATAAGGACATAGGTGTCCAGGTCAAAGCAATAAAGCTAGAAGCAGACAGAAGTATCTGAATCAGGATAGCTGAGGTGTACTAGGAGGAGGCTACTGCTGTTACTGCGCTGAATAAGGGTCTGAGGGGGAGTCTTGCCATTTTGGACCTATAGGAAAGAGGACTTTTTGTATTAGAATGCAGGTGTATAGAGAGCTGTTCACTAGGGGTTCAAATACTGTCTACATGAAGAGAGGGGAAGGCATTACAAGTGCAGTTTTGAGGCAGCTGAAATAATCAGTGGCAAAGACAACAAGGCAAATATACCATTAGATGTGGGTAGCAAATAGTGCTATATAGCTAATGTTATAATTTGACTGATGCTGACTGTTCTGACCTCCCCTTCCCTAAAATTATCCTTGACTTTTAAAATTCTCTGAGTTCAACAGTCTATTCCATTTCCCATTACAGAAATCCACATAGAAAACTCACTTGACATTCACATCTGTAATGTTAAAAGAGGTAACACCAGCTTGAACAGCAGGCTCCTTTCAAGCCATGACAACTTCTTTTTTGTGATGCAGAAGTCAGAACTCTAATTTATCTTCCTGCACCAAGAGTTCTTGTCAGTATTTTGGCACAAAGAAATTACTTAATTCCTGAAATGGAGCCATTTCACTTTCTTATCTTCAAAAACATTATTAAGAACAAAGCAAGCCGGCAACAGCCATCAGCCTTTCACAACAAGTTATGAGGTAGACGCAGAAGATTATGAAAACATTGACTTGTCACATTGTTTTGACATGCCAGGCATATTTAAATCCTAATCTCCTGGCAAACAGTTCCTGCTTAGTCAATAATACTACTACTTCCATCCATTTTGAGGTTCTTAAAATATTTATAATTTCTGCCCCAGTAGCAGAAAGAGGAATAATGGATATATCTTTATGAATGCCGGCATTTCAAAACCATTTAAAAACTTTTTGTCTATTGATCTGTGGCTCGATAGTTGAATAGTGCCCTCAATTCTCATGTCTTCCCACTAATGTAGTACCAAAATGAAATTAAAACATAGCCTTCGTGTCAGAATAAACAAGGTATTCAAAGCAAATTGTACGTAATACATGAATGTGAAATGAGCGCTGTTGTTCTTCTTGACTGGTTGCCAAGCCAGATGCAGAAGAGAAGTAACTAACTGATTGAGGCCTCTTTCAACACTGCCAGAATTCAGTGGTTGAAGCCACTCATCAAATTCAGAGAAGACTCGTACTGATTCCTTACTACATCATAATCAAAACAGGGTGCTCAAAACTGCAAGAATTTGTAGGAACATGAGTAATCCCTTCAGCTTCAGAGTGCTTAAAGACGTTGTTGAAGCCTGAATTCATAATATTTTGTATTAAATATATGCCTATACAATGCCTGTGTCAGTACCATATTTAAGTCTATGTCTAACTCTCAGTACGTGCATAAATCTCTTTGAAATTATCTGGGATTAAGCACTAGGAAATCAGCTAAGAGTCAACAGCTGAGCTGACAATAGTACTAATCACTCAGCATCAGCTAATTTAACAAAGAGGAATATTGCCATGTTTGCCTTGTGTTCAGTTTACATTTGGTCATATTCCTCTTCTGTAAAAAGGTTTTTCTTAGAAACAAGTTCATCTGTGAAGACTGAGACTAAAGCTAGCTTTCCTACAGATTTCTATCTCCAAGGCAATTTAGTCTCTCAGAAAGTGCAAGTTCTGAAGATTATCCTGTGAGGAGGGTATTTCTAAACACTTTTCCCTAAATAGATTTTTTCTGAGTTTAGCATAAGTTATGCTCATGGCATAGCTATTTTCTGGCAGGAAATCTCTTATGTCTTCCCCTACCTGATGCCATTTCACATAACTTCAGAGTCTTAGTGTCTTTAAGATGTTTGCCTCTGACTGAAATCACCAAGTGGTTCAAGATCAAAGAGTGGGATGAGTTCACAGGCACCGTATAATGCTGGAAATATTGAAGAGAGGTACAGTTGTTTTAAGAAAAGGTAGTTTATCCACTCATTTATGTCCATTTAGATCAGTTTACTCAGCTCTATCAAAGTAATCTTCTTAAGTCTACTTTTAAAATATAAAAGCAGTGGACACGGGCATATATAAAACATAATTATTTGAGTAGCAGTGGATAAGGAATGTAATTTATGGGCTAAAGAGTCCATTCAATAAGAACTGTTATCATTTGACCGATTCTAAAACCAATCAAGCAATTCATTAAAAAAGGTCTACTGAAAAGAATTTTACTTCTCATTTTTCTCCATTCAACTTCAATTACTACTGATAGAGGAACGTATTTAAGTTCCTTTTAATGTCCAAAGGTGCATAGTTTGTTTAGCTCTTTCTCTCCAACATTAACATCTGGAAAGTTGGAGCTGGAAATGTCATGACCTTTAGCTCATGTGTGTTTCTCTTTCTATTCCAACATTTAGCAGAAATCAGTATTTAAGAACACTGTTACATTTTGTCCACTGTTAGGGGTAGAAATACATGTAGGCACTTTACTGCATGCCAAATTTTAAGCCATAGACTGACAGTCTTGTTTGGAAATACATGCTAATTTTCTGTGGCTGTAATGAAGAGAGAAAACAGAAAGAACATCCCCCAACTTTTATGGTAGCTTACATATAAACAGTGAAAACAAAAGATGTTTGGTAAAAATAAGTAGCTACAGTCTATATTGTGATATAAATACCAAATCCTAGGGGATTACTTGAGAATGACATTAAAAAGACAAGGAGGTAGTTTTAGAAGTGACATAAAGAGATTTATATCATTGCCACCTTCTTCAGTTTCTCCTAGAAAGCTGAACCATAGCAGGCCTTGGTCCTTATCAGCTGCCTTAATTTTGTTCAGTGTTTAGTGAAAAGCCAATACACCGAAAACTTGCAATGAGAGGGTTATGGAAGCACTTAGGTGAAACAGACCCTGCTAAAGCAAAGATTGTTTATTTTCTGTTCTGCTTCTGCCCAGAGAGAGCATGACTGTGAGACTAAAACCAACAGGGCTCAGTCACTGGCTTCTAGGATGACTTTGGTTAAGATGACTGAAGGCAGAGTCTGTCAGCTTATCTGCTAGTTAAATGCACTAAATAAGTGCATCTAACTCTACTGCTGCAACAGCTAATGTGAACAAATGCATTAGAAGCTGTCCTTCTCTTCTTCTTCTTTTTCCCTGCACCAAACCCACTAGGTTTAATGGAGTGTGCCTGTCCTTCAATATTTTTCTTCCTTGTCTATATGACTTGAAGGAATGAAG